ACAATTATCAAAAAATAATAGAACAAAACATACTTCCTCAAGAATCAGGAGATCAGGACCATCTACGATAATATTCTCAATATTGGAATGGACACCAGCTGGTAAAAAAAAAGACGTGGAAGACCAAGATCTACATGGCTACAAGAAGTAACAAATGATCTCAACAGGCGGGCGTACGGCAATGGAGAGAAAAAACCAGAGATAGGCAACAGTGGAGAAAAATAACAAGAAAAATTAAATAAAGAAAATGAGGACTGATCTACCTCGTAAAATAGATCTACAGAGCTTAAGAGGCGTAACCCCGTGTGGGGTGTTTAGCCACAATATATACACACAAGAGATGGAATATTACTATGCTTATATTATTATTCGGTTTAGAACCAAAAATAATAGAACAAGACAAAATTCTTCAAGAATGGAGATCAAGCATCCTAATACCTCTCTTCAAAAAGAGAGATAAATCGGACCCGGAAATTTACAAAGGAATTATTTTATTAAACACTTCTTCTTCTTTCAATGGCGCTACAGCCCAAATTGAGCCTTGGCCTCCTGTAACTTCTGCCTCCAACAAAGGCGATCCCGCGCCACTCGTCTCCAAGCCCTGACGTTCAATAAGTTGTGCGCATCTGCTGTGACTTCGTTCTCCCATCTATTACGTGGTCTTCCCTTTGGTCTTCTGCCCTGCATTTTACCATCCAAGGCCTTTCTCGGCAATCTGTCGGCATCCATCCGTACCACATGACCAGCCCATCGAAGCCTTTGTACTCTAGCGAACTCTGCAATAGGTGCTTCTTTGAACAGTTGGTAGAGTTCATGGTTATATCTAGATCTCCACATCCCATTTTGAGTGATGGGTCCAAAGATCTTCCTTAGGATTTTTCTCTCGAAAACCTCTAATCTTCGTTTAGTGCTTTCTGTCAAAACCCATGTCTCGCATCCATAGCATACTATCGGTCTGATGATAGTTTTATAGACCTTAAGTTTCGATTTTCGATGTACCGTCTTGGAGCGGAATATGTTAATCAGGGAAAAATAGGCTTTATTTCCCTTCATTATTCTCTTCTGAATTTCGGCCTCTTCTGTTCCCTCCGTATTCATTTCGACTCCCAGATAAGTAAAACTCTTCACTGTTTCAATGTCATCCTCTACTTTGATTTGATTTCTTGTTCGCTTTGTCCGCGTCTGTGTTAGTATTTTTGTCTTCTGTGTATTTATTTCAAGTCCAATCTCCTTGGCCGTTTTTTTCAGCTGCGAATATGTTTCTGCTGCATCATCCACTCTGCGGGACATGAGGTTAATGTCATCCGCATATGCGGCGAGCTGGACAGATTTGTTTGTTAGGAGATTGGCTCTTCCGACATTCAGCTTTCTGATGACATATTCAAGGGCCAGATTGAACAGTGTTGGAGCTAGTCCATCACCTTGTTTCAGCCCTTGAACTATTTCGAAGCTGTCAGTTAATTCGTACTGTATGCGTACAGTTGCTATTGTGGAGTCCATCGTTGCTTTTACTAGTCGGATATATTTCGAGGGAATATTGAAGCTTTCCATGATGTTATATAACCGGCTTCTATTTATGGAGTCATAAGCCTGTTTGAAGTCGACAAATATATTGTGAACATCAATATCGTGTTCCCAAGCTTTATTAAGGATTTGCTTTACTGTAAAAAGCTGATCTATTGTCGACCTGCCTTGTCGAAAACCGGTCTGGTATTCGCCGATAATATTTTCACATAATGGTTGAAGTCGCCTATTCAGGATGGATGTAAAAATTTTGTAGGCCGAACATAGGAGGGTTATGCCGCGGTAATTTTCGCATTTAAGTTTGTCCCCTTTTTTGTAGATTGGGCAGATAATCCCATTTTTCCAATCGCTAGGAATTTTTTCTTCCCTCCATACCTTAGATATGAGCGCGTGCACCTGCGTTGTTAGATGTTCGCCACCTAATTTATACAGTTCGGAAGGGACATCGTCAAATCCCGGCGCTTTGTTGTTTCTTTGCGCCTGTATTGCTTGTTTGACTTCTTTAAGAGTCGGGCTGCTTATTTCTTCGTCTCCTTCCTCGATGTGCCGCAAATCCGAAGATCGTGAGCTTCCTTGTGCTCCTAGCAGAGCTTGGAAATGGCTTTTCCAAACTGATTTTATTTGCGTTGGTTCACTAATTATCTTATCTGTTTGGTTTCTGCACAGACTTGTTCGGGGTTTGTATCCTTCTCTTAGTTGTCGAAGATATTTATATGCCTCCCTTAGATCGTTGCTTTGGAGGTTTTGTTCCATTTTCTGTATCTTATTATTTTCCCATTTTCTTTTTTCTCCTCGACATATTTTATCCGCCCTGCGTCGTAGCTCCTCGAAAAATGTTCTTCTTTCTCTGGTTCGCCTTTCCATATATTTCTTGTGAGCTTCATTTCGTTCGTGTATGGCCCGTCTACACTCTTCGTTGAACCATTCTGCCCTTTGCTTCTTTACCTTTTTACCGATGGTCTTTGTTGCTGCATTTAATACTTTTGTCTTCATTTGTTTCCAATGTTCTTCAATGTCTAGGTTATCTGTGTTTGTAAGTGTCTGGGTTATTTCTGTCTCGTAGCTCAGTTTAACGTTTTGTTGGCTTAGTTTATCAATGTCCAACTGCTCTTTTATCTGTTCTTTCTTATCTCTGTTTCTTGAGATCCTGCATCTATATTTTGCTTGTACCAGCAAGTGATCAGATCCACAGCATGCTCCTCTTCGACTTTTTACATCTAGGATGTTGGTGGCAGCTCTTTTGTCTATTAAGACATGGTCAATTTGGTTAGTAACCGCTCCACCTGGCATGATCCACGTTGCTTTGTGTACATCCCGATGAGCAAAGAACGTAGAGCTCACGATCATGTTTTTCCTGCTGGCAAAATTAATTAGGAATTCCCCGTTCTCGTTGGTGTTTTGATGGAGTGAGTGTTTGCCGATTATTCCTGCGAACTGTTCTTCTTTGCCTATTTGGGCGTTCATGTCACCCAATATTATCTTGATGTCATTTTTTGGGGCATTGTCGTATATTTCTTCTAATTGATCGTAGAACTCCTCTTTTATTGTTATGTCGTGTTCTTCTGTTGGACTATGGGCATTAATGATTGTGAGGTTAAAAAATTTTGTTTTTAGCCTCAATCTACATAATCTCTCATTTATTGCTTCGAAATCTAAGATATTGTTTTTGATGTTCTTATCTACTACGAAAGCCACTCCAAATTCTTTCTTTCCATTTTCTTTGCCGCTATAGAGTATTGTGTGCGTTTTTGTGTCTTTTATTCCATTGCCTAGCCATTTTGTTTCTTGTATTGCGGCTAATTGTATCTTATATTTTTTAAGTTCGTTAAGCAGCGATGTTTGGGCTCCTGGTTTATTTAGGGTTAAGACGTTCCATGTTCCAAATGAGTAGTCCATATTTCTTTGCTTGAGTCGTCGTCGATAAGACCGTCCTATCCGAGGCTTTTGTATAGGTTTCGTAGTCGGGGTTTGTTCTACAGTAATGGGTGACTAGCCCATTGCCCTACCTTCCTCCTTTATCCGGGTTTAGAACCGGCTGTGACACTGTGATTTCCCACGGTATCCCAGGCGGAATTATTTTATTAAACACAACACTAAAATTAACAACCAAAGTGATAACAAATAAATTGAATGAAATTATAACACTAGCAGAAGAACAACGAGGTTTTAGGTCGGGAAGATCATGCATCGAGGCTGTATTTATAATGAGGCAAGTTCAAGAGAAATCATTAGAATACAATAAACCGGCATATCTACGTTTCGTGGACCTTACAAAGGCATTTGACCGGGTCAAATTAAAAGACGTTATCCACTTACTGTATGCAAGAGAAATACCCCTAGGAATAATTAAAACGATCGAAAATATCTACCAAAACAACGCAATAAAAGTAAAAGTAAAAGAAGAACTAACCGACCCTATTGAAGCTGGAAATGGGATAAGACAGGGAGATCCCCTAAGTCCTCTATTGTTCAACCTGATTATGGATGAAATAATAAAAAAAGTAAGAACAAAAAAAGGATACCAAATGGGAGAAAAACGACTTAATCTGCTATTCAGACGACGCAATACTACTCTCTCAAAGTGAAGATGATTTACAACGTATATTGCATCAATTTAATATAACCGCCAAAAAATGTAACACGTTAATTTCCCCAACAAAGACAAAATGCATGGTTACAACAGCAAATTTACTAAGATGTAAATTGGAGCTGGAAGGTCAGATAATAGAACAAGTGATGAGTTTAAATTTAGGCATCACTACACTACGGAAAGCTCGAAACCGAAGTGGAAGATCAAGTGAATAGAGCAAACACAGCCGCAGGCTGCCTAAATTAAACAATATGGAGAAATAAAAATATCGAGAAAGAAACGAAAGGCAGAATTTACAAAACAGTCATCAGACCAATAATGACATACGCGGCAGAAACAAGATCTGACACAGAAATGACAAAAAGGATGTTAGAAACAGCAGAGATGAAAACACTTAGAAAAATTGATGGTAAGACACTATGGGACAGAGCTAGAAGTACAGATATACGACATAAATGCAAGGTGGAGAACATCAAAACTGGATAATAAATAAAAGAGTAGAATGGAACGATCATGTAAGCCGAATGACAACAAATAGAGTAGTAAAGACGGCAAGAGACGGTTCCCAAATAGGAAGACGTTCAGTAGGAAGATCTCGAAAACGATGTAATGACAACTTACTAGAGGTACATTGAAAAACCGACAGTCATGTCTATATAAAAAGAAGAAGAAGACTATATGATGACTATATGCGAAGATTCTGGAAATGAGTTAAAAAAGTACAAGGAAACTTGGTGTAGTGTGGAAATATATGTTTAGTGTAATAAATTCACTCAGATAGATAAATTAATGAATAATAATAGAGTTTATCTAAATCATTGTCCAGATTTACCATCTTTACTTCTATTTAAAAGTACATTCTGTTACAAATAAGTTCATTACTTACCTTCAATTAGAATAGCAGGGGCCTTATCATTTAAGGTTTTTGTAATTCCCAAAAGACGCCATGGATCCAGTGAACCATGAACAAATACAACGTTAGATACTTCAATGTCTAAACCACCATAAAATACATTGGTCCTGTTTATAGCATGATCCAGAAACATTTTATTATAGGAGGATTTAAACATATTTTGGCATCTTTGAATGTAGAGACTAAGAGGAAATTTAGCGGTAGTTTGATAATAACCAAATTCTGTACATGTTTGATATATCCATTGGCGATCTACAAACAAGTAAAGATATTATACTCAGTTCGCTATTCCCAGTCCGAACTATCTAGTGAATTTAGTAATTTTTTTTTTTTTCGAAGTTACTTTTTGATGGACTAAAAGTGGCTGGAACTTACTATACAACCAAGCACACGTACTCATAACCAATATTAATAGTAAACAAACTAAATATTAAATAAAATAGAACTTTGCGAATTACCGCCAATCAATATTTATTTATCTGCACCATATAATAAATAGTTATGTTAAATTATAACAATTAAAATACATTTGTTTAATATATACTACCCAAAATTTGATGGGTTTAGAATATACTTCCACTATTTAGAATAATTCTTCTTTTTTCAAAGAAAGAAGTCTGCAATAGCAGTATACCTACTTGAGCTATTAATACTGAGAAGTAGGAATTGTTGTGTTGTAGTTTTCCGACAATGAATCTGTCAAAATATGCCCGAGCTAAGCGAATGGAGTATATGAAGGGTTATAAAAATTTACCTTTCTATATCCCTTTTAAAAATTATTGATAGCACAGTCTATACGTCGCAGATTATTTGCGTTTTATGTTGTATTATAATGGAAGATTGTCGTATTGGCTATATTAGTTTTATAAATTCTTGTACAAAACTGAGATAAGAAGATATCGATTTTATAATTTTTCTGTTTTAAACATCCTATATACAGACCATTGTAATCTTCTTCTATAAAAATATGCTATCATGCATTTCCAAATCGAGTTTAATCAGTTTTTTCTTAATTTTTATGAACTTGTCAAACTGTTCTTTTTCAAAAGGTAATTATTTCCGCGTTGATAGTTTTGAGGACTAATTTATTTTCTTTCTTCATACTCGCCTCAAAAAGTTGGAATTTCAATAGAATTTATATTCATTCAACCTGAAATTAAGAAATCTCGTCGTTCATGCACTCTTTTGCGCTCTCTAATCAGTCTTGTCTATCCTCGTCGTTGAAATTGTCTCAAATTTTAAAATCACTACTGTGATTAGTGAACAGTGTAGTAGTGTACAGTGCAGTGATTAGTGAACAGTGTAGTAGTGTCTGGGGTCTGAAGGCATCAGAGAGGATGCCGAAAGCTCGGCAAAATGGATATCGACGCGGTTCAACCCGGAAGACTGGTGAGTTTGATATTAATTTTAGTAATAATATTAATCTTAGTATATATATATATATATAATATATATATATATATATATATATATATATTCTGACTGCAACCCTAATAAACTGTGTTGTTTGTTTATTTCGACAGTCACTAATATCCAGTATTTCTTATATATATATATATATATATATATATATATATATATATATATAAATATATATATATATATATAAATATGTATATATATATATGTATATATATATATATAATATATATATATATATATATATATATATATATATATAAATATGTATATATATATGTATATATATATACCTATATATTCTTAGAAAGGGCTTTAGTGACTGTGTGAGTAATATATACGGATATCTTGGGTTTAGTAGTTTATTTACTACTAAACCCAAGATATCCGTATGTATATATATATATATATATATATATATATTATATATATATATATATATTATAGACCGAACAACAGAAACAATTCGCATACAGACGCAAAAAGCTTTTAAATAGTCAAAGGACTAAAACAGTGCGATTGGCTATCCCAGACACTGTTTAATTTGGCTCTTCAGTATGTCACAAGTTAACTGAATGGTTTAAGAGCCAATCTCTTAACAAAAAGTTAGTATTACCTTCATCCGTGTAGGTGGCGGAATTCAATCATTGTCTGAACAAAATGACCAAGGAAATTGAACTAGAAATAAACATTCAAAATATAAGGTCAATGGGAAATAGAAACCAAATTTTAGTAGAGAGTGATATTGAAGCAGTGAAGACCGTTACATATCTAGAAGTTGAATTAATACAGCTAGGATCTTTGAATCGATCGCAAGACAAGTTTTATTATCTGTGACCTTTTGTTTTTTTTTTTTTCGTACATAATTTTCTCTATGTCAGGCAATATTCGGAAAAAAATTAAGTTAAAACTGTATGTTCGTCTTAATACCACGTTGCAAATTACAAATACAAATACATTCACAAAATACTGAGATTTATTTGAAAATATTGCGCTCTCCAATCCCGTGGTGTTAAGTTGTTCAATATGAGAGGGTACCTTACCAGTTACCACCCTTCCACTCGACCTAAGTGGTCTATTGTGGCTTATCCTTATGTTAAATTTGTCTCGCTAGCTCAGTCTTTTTAACGAAGTCTATTTTGACCTTAGTTATTACTTCTACACAGTCGTAGAGATCGAGTTGATAATGTACAAGTGTATTGAGCCTTATCCTATCGACCCTGCCTAGTTGCACAGAATGTGTTCCGCCGTCTCGTCATCAGCCTGACAGAATCTGCAATTCGTACATTGTACTCTCTGTCAGTCCGATTGTGTTCATGTGCCTCTTGCGGTAATAATGTTCTGTTAGGAGACCTACGACAATGCCATATCACTTCTATTCACATCTAATAGATCTTTGGATCTCTTTTTCGAAGGTTCAGGTATAAACGCCTTCTACTGTTTAAGACTCACTTGTTTGTACCAGTGGTTACGTTTTATCCGTTCCACCCAGTTCAATATTGTTCTATTGGTTGTACTTTTTGCTATGCCAACGATAGACTCTAGGGCTGTGAATTATTGATTTGACTCTCCTCTAACAAGTAGGTCTACTTTTTAGTTCCCTTAAATACCAGTATGTCCAGAGTAAACTTACCCACAGTAAACTTACTTTGTTGAGTTTTAGAACTTAAGACAGTTTTAAAATAATTTAAAGTCAATCCAATTTTATTCCAGCACCTTTAATTAGAGCCTGGCTATCAGATATAGCAAGTAGGCACATATCCCTAGTCTAAATTTACATTTATAAGATAGGAGAGTGGCTACCTATGCTTTCACTAAAACTTAGACTTGTTTTCTCTCAGTATACTCCAGCTCTAGTTCCTTCATCAGTTTTAGAGGCGTCAATTATTATACCAGCATCAATCTGCCATTATGAGATTCGTTTTATTCGACCTTTATTTCTCCCTTTCGGGAAAAAGGGTAAACGATAAACTAAATTATATTTAGGTTGCATTGCATCTGGTATCATTTCCAACTCTGGAGGGTTTTTAATTATCTCTCCAGATTTGATCTTAGTATCATTTTGCCCTGCTTCCTGGCATCTTTTCCATCTTTTGTATTCTCCTACCGTCATCTTCTTCTCCATCCATATATATATATAATGGAGGGAGGTCAAGCATAGCATCCATGGAGGCTATTAGGATAGTCCATATCGCTCCTGTTATGATTAAGTATTCTTGTCGTTAAAGCTTATTTAGCTTCTCTTTTGTTGGCATTTAGATCACCATAATATTGCGCCATACCTAATCATATTGACTAGAAAGTACTGTTTGAGGTTCATACCTCATGTTTTTTCACATATCCTTCGACATGCTCAAAGGTAAAGCTTTGCTTTGTTGATTATTCTTACGAAATGGGCATTCCATATAAGCCGCTTCTCCAAGATATTTGACCTAATTCGCGTCTTTGACAGTTTCTCGATACAGAGCGGGCATTTAGATGTTATCTAGGTTCCGTCTCCTTATGAAACTGACTACTACTGTTTTACTAGGATTGACTGAGAGTTTTCTCTGTCGCATCATCTAGTAAAGATATTTAATGTTCTTTGTAGTGTGCTAGATAGAAAATTACCATATTTTCCTCTTGCCATAATTACTAGATCAACCAAGGTGTGACACCATCATGTTCTGGGGGGAAAATTGTCGCCTAAGAAATGTCCCAGAAAGCTGGCGAACTGGGGATATCATAGCCTATCCACAGTATGGGCGTACTATCGGGCCTGATAGTATTTCGTCTCATTTCGTGGAAATAAAATGTACACCTGGCAAAAAAGCATTGCCCAAAAGAAGATTTAAAGATTAGTGAGTTTTGTGAATCTATAAATAAAAAAAATGAAGATTGGATTTCTATCCGAAATTGTTGTTAATTTAGATCGGTCTTAATTGGAATGCTACAAGCAAACCTTCAGCGCAGTATAGTACGTTCTGCAAAATTTTCTAATTTCTTAATTTTCAATAAAAACTATTTCGTACTTCGAGTATACCGTAACTAACAAATAATATTTTTATTACCTCCAAAACCTGTAGGGCCCTCCCAAACATTATTCTCGATTTGCGAAATCATTTCATCATAGTTGTAACACTTCCTACCAAAAATTATGTTACGAATATTTCCTAAACGATTTATTTCAGGCCCTCTATATTTCAGAAGTGTACACAACCAATCTAGTGTTTCACTTTTCGTTACTAAGTTGTACATATTCAATGAATTATGAACCTTCTCTGATTTATCCTCACACAAATTGAATAGTTTGTTAAAATGTTTTTGGCCAACTGCAGTCTGCAAAGGAACTTCAACTTGGTCAACACTTTCCTTTAATATAGTAGAACATTTTTTGTTGTTGGCCCGTAAAGAATCTTCTACATCTTTAAAAAACTCTAAAATACAGAGATTAAAATTATAAAATTATAAATAAAAATATAAATATATCAAATAATTTTTTTGATAGTATGCTAGAGTAAATGTCCAGTGTGCTTGTGTACTTAATGAAAAAAAAAACAGTTAAGAGCAGTAATAAAATAGGAGTGTCATATCTTACAAAATTTATTCTGAGCTATCTGGAAGATATGACCTGATTATAGATGAAAGATTATTTCAACTGTGACCCGTTATAAGTTGGTATCTTTAGGGGAGAAGAGAGAGACTTGATCGTATGGAAAACTTGATTACTCTTAAAAATTTCAGTAAATAAGCAGCCTAAAATTATAAAACCGGCAACATGCATTTTACATGTAGTGACTTAGTGGGTCTGTCCTAAGGTTTTAATATTATTTTAATTTGTGACGTTTATGTATAATTGTTAGCACCGAATTTTTACATGCTTGTCAATATTATTTCTTCGAAAAAGCATGGATTTCCTGCCGAAACGTCGAAAAAAAATATATATATAAAAATGTCTTAGTATCAAAACAATCTTTTTTATGAACTCAAGCCCAAGAAAATCCACTAAAAAATATAGATTAAGGTTCAAAAACTAAACTTAAACTATATATAAATATTTATATATATATATATATATATATATATATATATATATATATATATATATAAGAGTAAGAAAAAAAGAAGTACTTGTGACTCGTTTGGAAAAAATATAACACTGTTTTTGATGGGTTGGAGTCAATAAAAGGGGCTATTTGTTGACTATTTTTTACTCGAGCTTTCAATTGTGATTACAATTTTTATCAAGAGCTTCTAAAAATACAAAATATCTTACAAAGTTCTAGTTTAATTACATTTTTCTAGTTCAACTTTGTAAGATATTTTGTATTTTTAGAAGCTCTTGATAAAAATTGTAATCACAATTGAAAGCTCGAGTAAAAAATAGTCAACAAATAGCCCCTTTTATTGACTCCAACCCATCAAAAACAGTGTTATATATATATATATATATATATATATATATATATATATATATATATATATATATAGTTTGAGTTTAGTTCTTGAACCTTAAGCTACAGACAAGCCACCTCCCAAACACCACAGTGCGTTTTAAGTACGTACAATTTTGGTACTGTACGTACATGATGTAAAATGTACGTTTTAAATACGTACACTGAGGTACATACCAGTACAGAAGAGTACGTACTGTGTACGTACTATTACGTTTTAAGTATGTACCATGAAAAAGATGAGTTAGTTCTAAAGCATATTTATTAGGTTAGGTTATGTTCACCTAACCTAATTTATTTAGTTAGGAATTTTTCACCTCGAGTACAGTTGTGATGTGATAATTAATTAAATAATGTGTGGTTTCCTGTTATTTTATTCAATCGAGTGTTTTTTGTGTCAAAAATGTAGTGATAAGCAAGTGGCAGAGCAAGAAATTGGAGGACGATGGTTGAGGAGAGTGGGGGATCGCTTAAAAACTTTCTTTCTTATTAAAAAAAATAAAAATTGAATTTATTAAAAAAAAATAAAAATATATTTACCTATATTTACTTTTATTTACATAAATCATCATAAGTGTGTATAGTATGTACATAATATGTATATATAGTATGTACTAAGTACATACCTTCAATATGTACTAGGTACGTACTTTCAGTACGTACTAGGTACGTACTTAGTTTGTCTTATGTACGTACTTGTGCTTACTGGGCGTGTCTTTGTTCAATGAGTTTGATCCTTACTTACAGTTCACTGTTGAACTTGAGGACTCCATCACAAATAGTATTCCCTTCTTAGACATGCGTGTCATCAGAATGGGAGACAATACTTCAACCACAAGTTGGTATAGGAAACCAATGGCGTCTAATAGGTTTTTCAACTACCACTCTTGTCATCCTTTTAAATATAAATTAAACCTTATTAAAGCTTTAATCTGCAGGCTGAATAGGCTAACACACCCGATTAATCGAAGCGAATCCCTTCAACTGCCCAGAAACATATAATTGAGTATTCCTACCCATCTTCCCTCATTAACAAATACCTTTATTTGCAAAGTTATGGTTCCTTATTCAATGACATACCCAATGGTGACCAACTTAGAGTAATATTAAACAATAACATTAATAACACTGCCTACTACTGTACTTGGGACTCCAACTGCCCATTATTCCTCTTTACCCTATTTCCCTCAAGTTACTGAAAAACGTATTAAACTGTACAAACATAATGATGTGCCTGTTAAAATTACAGTTAAGAATGCCAAGACTGTCAGAAATTTGTTTACTAAAACCAAAACACCCTTGTCCCTTTTGGAACAAGTCAATGTCATATATCACATACCTTGTGCTGAGTGTGACTCGTGTTACATCGGTCAGACAGGGAGATCACTGAGAGGGCGTCTTACGACACACCGCAGTGATATTAACCTATCCAAGTATACTTGTGCTCTTGTTCAGCATGCTATTAACACAAATCACAAAGTGGACTTTAATGAAGTTAAGATTCTTGGCAACGAATACAATCTTGTGAAAAGGCAGTTTTTGGAAATGTGTTCGATACTGAAACACCCCAACGCTCTGAACAAGAGAACGGACATTAGTAACTTGAGCCAAATTTATCATGCATTAATATTGCAGAATTAGGCTTAATGGGTTTTTTACTTTAAAATTGTCCCCTGCGGTGTGTTTTTGTATAAATTTTCACTTTTTAAATAAATTCAAATAAAATTTTCTTATGTTACTTAAATAAAGATTGCTATTCAACTAATATTTTATTGATTCATTTATCAATGTTATAAAATATATAAAATAATTGTTGATGAAATAGTTTAATAAAATTTTAAATTAATTTGATTCATATAATTCTTATTAATTTCTCAGTTCCATAATATTATGAACCTTGGACTGTTGAAAGTTGAATTAAATCTGTACCTGTGGCTGGCTAACCAGCTACAACTTGGACACTTATATTATGATATGGAGGGATCGACCTCAATTGTTTGCTCTTTTTCTTCGAGCCATTTCCTGAAAGTAAAATGGTGTTTCTAAGCATCTGTTACTTTCATATAATGGTTTGTACAGACAAGGATGTTGCCTACTATATCATATCTTTAAACTTACCGCTTTAATACATTAGCGGTTGGTAACTCGCCTTGTTATTTGTCATGATTGGACTTCAAGGACACTGTTTCTTCACGTGATGGTTCGGCAGCTTTAAAATGGGTTCGCATTTGCCGAGTGTCTCCGGAAAGTGTGAAAGCTTTTTGTACTAACTTCATTACACCTGTTACAATATTACTACAGCAAACTTTTATAATCAGTTCAATGATGTTACGTTAAGGCAAAATTAAACTAAATTAATATTATACTGTTGGAAGTGTGATCTTATGATGTTATTAGTTTTCGGCAAATACTTATTTTTTAGATAAGTTTTTTTACATACTTTTTTTTAAATTACATGTATAATAACCACATGGTCTTCTGCTGTTTTAAGTTTGAATTAAATTGTAAATTGTACTTAGTTTCAATGAATTGTTTAGAAACGTCTTCAAATAAATAGATGAAGTAGCCACCTTGTTTGTCTTTTTCTCCACATTTTGACCGAAAAACCCACCACTCTTCGAGTGATCCTTAATTTATATTGGATTAGCGGTTATATATATATATATATATATATATATATATATATATATATATATATACTAATATATATATAATATATATATATATATATATATATATTATATATATATCAAACACCTTTGATAAATTCAATAACGAAAAATAGAATATTTACAAAAAAAGAACATCGATATATGTCTGTACGTTCTCTGATTTCAATATTCCTTTCTCTATCCCTTCTGGTGATTTGGCAACATCTACGCCGATAATTCATTTCCATTGCTTTTATTTTGGATGCGTCTTTTTTAGTTATTACCCAAAGCTCTGAACCATATGTAAAAATACTTTCTCGATACTTTTGTATATCCTAATTTCTGTGTTTTGAGTGATTTGGTTATTCCAGAGTATACTATTCCTTATAGTTTGTAATGCTTACATCGAGATATTTATAGCTATCAGTATTTTCGATTTGTTTGCCTCTTATTTATAAGTGTTTTCCTTCACCTAACACTACTACATACTCTATTTTTGATGGATTCATCTATAATCCCCTTCTTCTTCTCAAGGTGCCGTGCATTTCTGCGTAGGCGTCCACCGTACATCGTCTTGTCAGGTGAGATGTTAAATAATCTGGTTTAGATAATTCTGTTTTTAGCAGCATTGCGAAGCATTTCATAGCTGTGGATTCCTGTCCGTTGTCGAATATTGCGCAGCCATGACATTTTTTTACGTCCGAGACCTCTCCTACCCTCTATTTTCCCTTCGAGTATCAGTTGCTGAAAAGTGTATCGTTCTCCTCGTATAATGTGCTCCTCTCCTCTATAATCCCCACTTAAGTATATTCTTTATCTATTTTTCACAACATGTAGTGGATATCATCTTGATCTTCTGCAAATATTACTTGGTCATTCGCAAAATGCAAACGGTACAGTTTTTGACGGGCTCACTTGACGGGCATCTTCGAAAAAAAAACACATGTCATTCGTTCTGCGCTCAGAAATTGAATAAGACGAAGTTTTGTTAAAAAACTTTGCATCTTCCCGCCGAAGTCACGCCATAGTCTTAATCGTATGACCAAATTCAACCAATAGAAAAAAAGTTCCAGAACAAGTTTGGGTCATCCATCAAGGATCGTTTAAACAAAATACTTTGTTTACGTCATTTGAAACGAAAATACGTTGTACAGAGAGCGTATAAAAATTATTGTTTCCTGAATTAAATAGAATTTACCTGGAAAATCCAATTTTGCGAGAAGTGGTGCACTTGCAGACATGGCCCCATGTACCAAATGTGGGTACTTAAGGCGTACCCAGGCGGCTAAGTTTCCTGCATAAGAACCTCCGAAAACAATCCATTTTACATCACGAGTCAGATTGTGTTTTTGGTTCATAGCTTCAATGAAGAACGCTAAGTCGGCCAAAGCTTGCTGACTCGTTAGATATACAAGATTCTCGGTACTTAAATCTCTAAAATACAAAAATTACTTATTTATTTATTTTTAATTAAGCGAAATTTTTAAATGATGATGATTACTATCCTATTTCCTATTTTAACTACATTTTAACAATTATAAAATCCATAACAAATATTGTAGCTCAAATAAAAATTTGTTGTCTATTTCCACTATTTAACCGCACTTTAAAAATTATTACAAATTTTCTCCTATTATAATACTCTGCAAATTAATCGAATTAATATCTGCTAATATGGCTTTTGATTATTTCTGTTTTCATCTAACCTATCATTTTTTCTTGTCTATTTTGTATAAAGTTCGTATTTCTGAGTTCGCTAAGATTTAGTTATGTTATGATCGAGCTCAGTTAAGCTGTTCCTAGGTAGTGATAGATTGTAGGCTGAATGGACTGCAAGTAGCGATGTGAAATTACGTGTAATTTCAGAAATTGTAAGTTACACGTGTAAAATTACCCAAAAATTACAAACCAGATGTAATTTATGTAACTTATGTAATTTATGTTCATTGTATTAAAAAATCAATTGTTTGCATTCATATTGAATATAATAAACACAAAGTAACTACATACTTATGAAATAAAGAAAAGTGGATAAGAAATACATACAAATAATAAAGAAATGAAAACATAGGTTCTTTAGTTTTGTTTTAAGCGGCTTTTATAAATCACAACTTCCTTTTTCGCAGACAACTGGAGACCTTCTTGTTATAAAACGTCGAAGTTTCAATTGTTTGCTCTTCCAATGAGCCTTGTGTAATTTTTTTTATCTCCGGCAAATCCAGAACTGCATCCTGAAATTAAATAGGAAAGTGTAAACATAGAGAGTAAAAATAATGGGTTTATAATATAATATATACAGATCTAACTACCTTGTTTTCGGCATCTGAAGTATCCTTCTCGACTTCCGTTTTTTTTTGGGGTTGTTCTGTGCCTTTACCCTGAAATTGATAATTTTGGAATATAAACAATAAATATGTATGTGTTTACACTAATTTACCGATTTCATTAAGACGTTTTCTAAAATGTTCACTTTGCTTTGTCTCAAAATGCGTGCTGGTCTCTGTTCCCTAGTTTCCATTCTTTGATCAATTTCATCATCGGTCATTGCAAAGTCAGCAAAATTAAAATCATCGTCGGAATTTCCATTTCCTGTTGTATTTGAATGCCATGATGATATTGTCTGAAAACATAAGATTTATAATTTTTTATTCGAAAACGGTGGAATGCATTGGAAAATCGGAAAAGAAGCAAACTGCATATATCACATGCACATATCACATATCTAAAAAATGCCTAAATTTAAAATTACCTCGTCTAATTCTTCCTCTTCGGAAATATGGTTTTCAATTACTTCTATCTCCTTCTGTAAGTTTCTACCTTCTATCGAAACGTTGTTCTGTACAGTCTCTTCTATAGGATATTGACTTTGTATGTGATGTTGTCGTGAACGTTTCAGCAATTTTGAATTATATTGTATATAATTTAAATTTGCTGCCCTTTGAGTTGTTAGGCGATTTCTTCTCTTCGTATGAATGCTGCTCTGGGAGCTAAAGCTTCTCTCTGTTGCCGCAGAAGTGCACGGCATTGTCAATATCCTGACTGCAACTTTGGAGAGGCATGAATGTCCACAAAATCCTTTCCACCATGTAACCAAAGAGACATTATCGAGTATGTTCCATAAAAATGTTTCGCCAAAAAAGTCTGTTTTAGCTAAATAGTTTCCTAAATCCTCAGTAATCTTTGACACTCCTTCATCACCAATCTCTATCGTGGTCGTGGTTGACATAGTAGTAATGTATTTCATCGCTTCAATCCTTTCGGCTGATGATAAATTTGCACCAACAGACCGAGGGTTTAGTAAGTCTGCGGCAAAATGGATCGGTTGAAGGGCGTATTCCTTCCTTGATATAAATTTATCCATCGCTTCTGTTTTTTCGCAATCCGTTAGTTTCACGCATTCTAAATGAGTAGATATGTTACTACCGATTTTCGCGAAAGTTTCACAAACCAAATGAATTGACGAAGAATCTCCTTCAAGACGTGTTATTGCTTCAGTAATTGGCTTAAGCAATTCAACAAGAGCGCTAGAATTTATCCAGAATCCTTCATCAAGTAAATTTGCTTTTGCGCTGCGTATTCTATCTTGAATTGTTTTATCTGGAGATATTGCTAGACGTTGTAGGACGGACTTGCATTTAGTCAGATCTTGAAGACATTTTACATGTGAACCCCATCTTGTTTTTACAGGTAGGCTAAGAGACACTCCACACTTCATCTCATTTCTTATTTCTGTGAATTGAGCTCTCAGTACTTGACACTGGTTAATAGTTTTAACGATATGTATAATATGTGACAAATGTGTCTCTATTGAAGATAATTTCAAAATATCGCTGCACAATAAATGTAATGTGTGCGCTAAACAGCCGTATGATACAAGATGGGGATACATCTCTTCACATTGTCTCACAGCCTTCCTCATATTCTTTGCGTTATCAGTCACAATAGCGAAAAATTTTTTAGGTCCATACTCCTCCAGAACTTCAACCATTAATTTTGTTATATATTCTGCGGTATGCTTCTCTGCTTTTGTTAGTACTGATTTGACAAATAACGGTTCGGGTGTTGTAACAATGAAATTAATTACACTTTCATTTCGCAAGTTGGACCAACCATCGCATTGCAATGATAAATTGTCAGCTTGCTTAATTTTATCATTAACTTGAACTTCAACTCGCTCGTACTCTTCGGTCAGGAGACGATTTGATAACATATATCTCGATGGTAAGGTGTATGAAGGTCTAATTTTTTTAAAAAACAATTTCCAATCTTCATTCTCGGTAATTGAATGTGGTGCTGAACTGGTGTAAATAGCTCTAGCAAGCAAAATATTCAATTCGTTATTTTGTTCGTGTGTCATTCGATCACAAAATGATTGTATTCTGTTGATTTTTGTGCAAACAGGTGTTTCCACATGAATGTTATCAGAAGCAGATGTTGATGCTGTGGAAACCGTTGATGATGTACAAGCAGCATCAGTGTTATCGTTATCCAATTTTGCCGATGTGATCTTTTTCATGGATGTTTCAAATGGAAATTTAGAGTGATTCCCCTTTGACTTTGGAGTTAAAATATTGAATTTAAGTTTTATCATATGCGGCACATAAGTGCATTGTTGAAGATGAGATTTCATTCTTGTAGCATTTTTTGCATGTACACTCTTGCAAAATTTACACCTCACATTTATGGTCTTTTGATTAGAAGAACCCGCAGGTAACACTTCAAAATAAAGCCAGATATCTGTCTTACGTTTCACCATGTTTTATGACCTAAAAAAAATATTCAGGTAGACTTAAACATTAAGAAGGGAAAAAACATTATTTTTCAAAGTATTTGATGGGCACGAGGGCATAAAAAATTGTTAGGCATCCTTAAATAGAAGAAAGATTAAAATTGAATCTGTGTAACAACTGACTCAGACTAAGGAACGACTAACGAGCGACGAGCGTAATAGCACCCACTGGTTCGCGCGCGCCGGCACCGGCGCACCGCACTTACGACAATTGCGCGCGCATAAGTTGCCATAATATATGTAATTTTACCAGTAATTACATAAATTACGGTAATTTATGTAAATTTATCATAAGTTACGTTAAATTTCATAAATTACGTAAATTCCAAAAATTACATAAATTACATTAAGTTACGGGTATCATGTAATATTACCGTAAGTTACGTGTAATTTATGTAACGTAAGTTATGTAATTTTACAACTCACATCACTAACTGCAAGTGATCATCGACTATGTTGTATTGGTTAAAAGTCTGATATATTTGGGAAACTATATATGCGTATCGAGCAGGATTCTTCAAGGAACCAGCACTGCACTATCTTATAAATAGCGCGGAATTCATTTGGAAAACTAAGCGGTGGTGCTGGCATTTCTATGTATAGAGTGGGTAGTCAACAATACCTCATACGGATAAAGGTAATTAACCTACAGATCGATAGACCGTATTTTGAGAAGCCGTGTGATATATGCAACGTTACTGGGGGATACAGTGTTAGCAAAGGTAGCCAGAGGCTGTCCGTAGGTAGAATCTTATCTTCTATCTTGTGAAATCTGGTCATAGATGTACTGAGAAGCTAGACGCAGTAACGGCAGCCTTCATGTCTTGAGCAATATGCATGACCTGTGTTTTTAGCTTAGCTAACTCATGGTAAATTTAGTGGCACAGTGAGATACATAATATAACAGCCTCTAACTGTGTTTAGAAAATGAACTTCAAATATAACATATACCCCCAGGGGTTCAAAATTATAAATTCACCAGAAGGAACTTAGAGCGATAAGGTCTTCTAAGACTTAATGATATATATCTACAGATATATCTAAGAATACAGCTGATAGAACAAATAAACAAGACATGAAAAAGATGTGGGGTTTAGAACTCTGCATGTTATATTATATTTATAACAAATGCATTAGGGGTGTGGTGCTTAACGGTGCAGCAAGAAACCACCATTACCAATCTAAACAAAGTGAAAAAACTGGCTTGCCTTGAAATGGAGACTCTGTTAGACTGACCTCCTTTGCCCAATGCTGTACATAATAGAGCAGGCAAAAATGAGATATTAAAGATTGTGGGAAGCCCCGAGTAATGTAATGATTAAATAAAGACAGTAGCATAATAAATGAAACTGGTGATACCGAATAGATGACTTTGACCGTATGGTATCTTTCCAAGTAGAGATTTGCTTACTAGAGGAATGGGGTGGTGGAAACACACGATCCAGTATGCAGTGTTATACCTAATAGACAGATGGATCTAAAACTGCACAAGTATTAGATTCCAAATATGAAAGTCTGACTGACGGAACATAACAATGTCAATGTTACACTGAACCGGGTTCTAGGTCACCGGGAACATACAGCAATGAAAGACCTGATGAACATCCACAAAATACTACGGTCCAAAGCAGACCATAATAATAAAAAACACCGTCTACAACCTACAGCCTTGGATAAAGCAAAGTATATATTGCACGGTGTGATGAGCTAATAGTGCTGAAGTTCTGATCAAAACAAGCATGAATTAGAGTTTTATTAGGCTTTCTTACCAGGTAAGAGGATGTCTTATGGAGACTTAAGATGCGAACTCTGTAGTAGAGAAACTGAAACAGTCAATCATATCTTTCACGACTGTAGGGAATTAGATCTCAGATAGTAAACACTTGTTAGAACTACCAAATGACTTCAAAAATATATGGTACCGATCTTTTAGATTCATACAAGCTGGTACAGGGATTCAAAATTCTGTAATTAATATCATGAATTGATGAAAGATGTACAATAAGCGAACTGACTGCAGTAAGACCGGTTTATAACAGACGGCTTCTAAAATAAACAAGGGTTCACTAGGCGGTACTGTAGACTAGCGCGAAGCTTTTGTTGGTATATCTTTTATCTATGTACAAAAAATTATAAAACATTATAAAAATCAAACAAATTATGGTCAGTTTTGACATTTTGTATACCTAGCGACCACCCCTCGTTAGTTACACAATTTAATTTTTCTGCTGTGAATGTATAAATATGAGAATGTTTTATTAATAACTATTTTTATCGCACATTAATACAATAGTCTAACTGATAATTGCAACAATTCAACATTGTATTTATATGAAATTATATTTATATGAAATTATAATAATAATAATAAATATCATTTGACAATAAATTTAATTATTATATAAACTAAGTATTATGTTTAAGAATAATAATTGTGTTTATTTATAATAATTGAAATTATTTTAAAACGAAAATTAATATAAAAATGATGGTTTAATGTTGATATTAATCGGATGAAATTTATGAGTTTTATTAAATTTTGGCAATCGTTACGAATCGAATCTTTTAGTGACAGATATTCTTTTAATTTTTTACTTCTCATTTAATGTCTATATTTTATTAATTATTTTTCATACAGTTTTTAATTTAAAGCAACTTAGAATAACTATATGGCACTTAGAATAACTATATACATCATCTTGTGGCGCTAGTTTCGTGACGTTCGCTTCGGCATTTTACTGTAGAGAAAAAAGAGTAATGCCACGCCAGTGTAGAAGTTTTGAATATTTTCTTGAAAAATGGAAAATTAATTTACTTAAACCTTGTAAAAAACGCTACATAAAAAATCCTGCTTACTCAGTCGGATGGCTTTTACCATAGTATCTGTGCTCAAGTTCGAACAAAATGGGTTTATATTTGCGAGCATATGTGATCCATGATCCGTAGGTCATCCAATCACTATTTGCAGTTCCCTCTCCTTCGATTTGAAGAAAGGCGAGATTGCCTTTACCGCTAGCAAATTCATCATTTACGAAATATCTCTGAAAATAAATTATGAGTGTTATACATTATACCTCATTATACTTTCAACAAATCAAATAAAAAACGAATAAAAATAATTTTAATAGATTTATTTTTAAGTAACCCGATACTTTGCTTCTGCACTTAAAAAGTAAGCATAATTTTGGAATTATCTAACTAATTTTTTGAATTTTAGCACCTTGTATTTTAATATACAGTGTAGGAAAAATTTTATGGTCGGTATGGACCTTACGTGAGATGGAGTGAGAAACAGCTGTTTAGAAAGAGAGAGGTATATTAGGTCCGCCCTTTATATCGCCAAACATGCATGCCTGAAAAGGGGAAGTTCAACGTTGATAAACTTATTGGATTTATTTGACCTGTTGTTTTTTTTGCATTTGAACAATGTTCTAAGATTATCCAATTTGGGCGAAATTGATTTAAATGGCAGCTTACTGTTTTTTTATTGGGAATATGCCACAAGTTTACTTTACAATAAGTGTAATATAACATTTTGATTTCCACTTTGGAAATCGTTTTATATAAATAAAATTTATTAATGTTTTGTATTTTAAGTACGATTTCCGAATTAAAAATCTAAACATCAAAATAAGCTTATTTTAAAGTCACATTGTGCCTTATTTCCAATATGAAATAATAAACTGCATACAATAACACCACATTAAAAAATATTCATACACAATAATTTATTTGGCAACGTCGTCCGTCTGGTCAGAACACCGAGTAACGGGTAGTAGAGGTGGGTCGTGGTAATTTTATCGTTAAGAGCGTAGGCATAAGATTTTGGAATAATATTTTTTAAATGCATTCATTTTTTTCGAATCCTGATAAAACTAATAAATATTTTTGAAAAATTTAAACGCAGAATGAACCAATACATTATTACCGAGGGCCAAAAGTCCCTGAAAACTTCTATAATGTTTATTTTAATAAGTTATAAGGGCGAAAAAAAAATTAGTGTGATTTTTAATTTCAAATATCTCATTCAAAAAACTTTTTGTTTATTCTAAGGGACATTCGGCCCTCGGTAATAATGTAATCTTTTATTCTGCATTTAAATTTTTCAAAAATATTTGTTAGTTTTCTCAGGATTCCAGAAAAAATGAATGAATTTAAAAATTTAAATTTTTGTAAACAAGTAACTATGATTGTTTAAAAGTAGTTTCAAGTAAGAGAGTACCTACATAAACAAACATAATGGCTATTATCGTTTATGTGTATATTTATTGAAGTGAAAGAAACTAATGATATATTTATTATAACTTGAAAAATAAATTAAACAATACAAATAGTAAATCGTACTTACATTTACATTACACGTTATTATTAAATCGCGAATGGTCTACATTGACATTAAAAAACATAAGTTTTTCTACTATACCTACTTCTTATTAACCGTCTTCTTTTTTTATTTGAAATTAAACCAGATTTTGAACATGTGTTCACATTTACAATACTGTATGAATATAGGGGTTAAGTTAGGATATACATGGCGATGGTTTTTCCACGTTGTAATGGACTCTCGATACAGGTGTACGTGTAGATGAGCCATCTCCAATTAATTGATCAAATATACACCATGGATTTAAGTCATCTTTATTGGTTTCTTTTTCTTGTACTGGTTGATTTTCAATAGTACAATCTTCTTGTTCGTTAATTATAGAAGTAACCAGCTTCTTAACTTTTTCTTTTATTTTTTTATCTTCATTTTTATCAGAAAAACCCTGCACTTTAAATGGTGAATCCATAAATGTACATAATGACAATATGCCACTCTGTTCTATCCCTTTAAATATTTTTGCTAAACCCGATATTAGTAATTGTACTACGTCGGATGCTATGGATGTAAGGTTACCGTTTGCTAAAATTTTCTTGCAAGATTCTTGCAGGCCGCGTACCATAACAATCACTGAACTACCCTTCAAGTATTTTTGGTCACTCATTGTACTTGTTATTTCTTTAAACGGCCGTAAAATTTGGGAAAGCTGAGAACAAATAATCCAGTGTTTTTTATTTAGATTTGGTCTAAGTCTAAGTCTGTATTATTTAATACCGATGTGGAACGGAAATACACGCCAGTATACCGAAAATATCAAAATACAGAGAGGAGTCCGCCAGGGTTGCGTGCTGTCCCCACTACTTTTCAATGTCTACAGTGATCGGTATTTTAAGAAGCGCTCTCAGACTCAATAGAAGGTATATCTATCAATGGAGAAGTTTTGAATAACTTACGTTTTGCAGACGATACAGTAATAATTACGGATAACAACAATGATTTACAGAACCTAATGCAACGCCTTAATGAACGCTGTCATGAGTACGGACTGAAGATAAATTTAAAGAAAACTAAATGCATGATCATGACTAAATCTGCACAAATATCCAATTGACTATTGAAGATACTGCAATTAAGAGTGTTAATAACTATAAATACTTAGGAACATGGATAACATCAGATGTAGACCAAACCAAAGAAATTAAGACACGTATTGAAATAGCACGTACATCATTTATTAAACTTAAAAAGTTTATTTGTTGTCGGGATATAAGGTTAGAACTACGCCTGAGAATGCTTCGATGTTACGTGTTCTCTACTCTTCTTTATGGTCTGAAAGCTTGGACACTAAAACAAGTTCATCTGAATAAGTTGGCCGCCTTTGAATTTTGGTGTTACAGAAGAATGCTACGAATATCATGGATTCAAAAAATGTCAAACATTGAAGTAACTAGAAGGATAGGAAATGAGGCAGAAATAATATTACCTATTAAAAGACGAAAACTTGAGTACTTGGGACATGTGATGAGAGGGCAAAAATACGCATTATTACAACTTATTATGCAGGGCAAAATCCGAGAAAAGCGAAATGTGGGAAGACGAAGAATATCCTGGCTTAAGAACTTAAGGGAATGGTTTGAATGCAGTAGTGCAGACCTTTTTAGAGCGGCAGTCAACAGAGTCGGCATAGCCATGATGATTTCCAACCTTCGATAGAAGATGGAACTTAAAGAAGAAGAAGTGAAACGGATTGCCTCTTCTAACTCAGTCATTCTTTTTAACCTGTAATAGGTGAAGTTCTACCTAGTTTTCACGTCTTGGATTGGCCGTTTGGGAACTTTGTTATGTTGTAATTAATACTTTAAAAGCCTTTCTGAAGATAAGGTACTTTTTTTTAATGTTTTTTGCAGAATTGTCGAAAAAAGGACTTTTTATTTTATCTATTATCAAATCAGTTTTGACATAACATTCCTGAAGTAATGAATCTAACAGTTTTTCTTGTTGGATGTTTATATCCAGGAATCCACCCTGCAAACTTTTTAAAAGCTGGTTCTTCACCTATAGAAAACGGATGAAACGAGTGTTTGCATAAGTTTAGTAAATCAATAAGTTTAGTCAAGAAAAGGAAACTGATAAAGATGACTTAAGTCCATTGTGTATTTTTGATGAATTAATTGGACATGACTCATCTAAACATACAACTGTATCGAGAGATATACAAGAAGTCGACATGTATTTGTCTGATAATATATTACCCACAATAAATTTTGAACGGAGATTGGAACTTTTTATTACCGTGGTGTGAAACACATGTTTAAAATCTGGTTTAATTTTAAATAAAAGAAGAACACGGTTAACAAGAAAAGTAGAAAAACTTGTTTTTAAATGTCAATTTAGACGATTCGCGATTTAATAATAACGTGTAATGTAAATGTAAGTACGATTTAAGGTAAATGTAAGTACTATTTGTATTGTTTAATTTATTTTTCAAGTTATAATAAATATATCCTTCGTTAGGTTCTTTCAGTTCAATACTTATACACATAAACGATAATAGCCAATATGTTTGTGTACTCGCTAATTTGAATCAACTAGTTACAGTTTATGAAAAACGGTTCCGATAAAAATTTAAAAAACGGGAGGACCCACCTCTAGTTTTTTAGGTATATTAGGATCGGAACCAGAGAATATGTAAAATATCTCTGATCGGAACTATTCGTCTCACTAATGGCCAGTAGGTGTTAAAAATATTTGTGGAGGGGAGACCAAGG